TTCCTTGTCTATGTATCTCAAACGAACATCGAGTCTAAATAATAACCTCGGTTCCTTGTCTATGTATCTCAAACGAACATCGAGTCTAAATAATAACCTCGGTTCCTTGTCTATGTATCTCAAACGAACATCAAGTCTAAATAATAACCTCGGTTCCTTTCAACACTAATTATTTTGAGTATTACATTTTACCAAATTATGCATATTTACTTATTCTTCCACTCGATATGGTCCGGCATGGCTAAGTGGTTAGAACGCTTGACTCGCCAACTGAGGGTCGCAGGTTCGAATCCCCGTTCCACTAAACATTATTACCCTGCCGTGGGTGCGTTATAAAGTGACGGTCAATCCTACTATTCATTGGTAAAAAGAGTAGCCCAATAGTTGGCGGTGGGTGATGATGACTAGCTGCCTTCCCTCTAGTCTTTCACTGTTAAATTACGGACGGCTAGCGCAGATAGTCCTCGTGTAACTCTGCGCGAAATTCCAAACAAACAAGCAGTAAGAACTCTATATTGATCAATTGTGAAAAGTTGTTACTCCGATGATAATTAGGCCCTGGCATGGCCAGGTGGTTAGGGGGCGCTCTACTCGCAATCTGTGGGTCGCGGGTTCGACTCCCCGTCCCACCAAACATGCTCGCCCATTCAGCCGTGGGGGCATTATAATGTGACGGTCACTCCCACTATTCGTTGGTAAAAGAGTAGCCCAAGAGTTGGCGGTGGGTGGTGATAACTAGCTGCCTTCCCTCTAGTCTTACACTGCTAAATTAAGGACGGCTAGCGCAGATAGCCCTCGTGTAGCTTTACGCGAAATCCGTAACAAACCGATGATAATTTTAAAGTGATTAAGATGATGATAAGTGAGATGATAGATTTGATGATAGTTTTGTAAAATAATGATAACTGAGATGAATAGTACTGAAAGATGATGAAGTATGATGATGATATGAATTAACTTTTGTTGTTAGGACTACTTTGCTATTTCACCAGTATCAATGATGACTGTTTATTATTTTTACAGGGTATTTCCTTCCTAGCTCTTATCCTGCTTACAGAAAGACTTTACGACGTGGACAGACAAAACAGTTTTCTGCAAACTGTGACGTCAGTCTGGATCCCAGACGAACTTCTAGTTACTAAGTTAAACATATCCAACCAAGAAGCCTCAGTTCCACAACCTTCAAGTGCGCCATCTAGCGGAGGTCAACAGTCTTCTTTTACACAATCAAATCTCAGTAATCTAAAGGCCGATTTGGAGTACAATATTTGTGAGTATTGATTCCCATACAATTTAATTTATTGGTCGATTGTATTCCATATTTTGGTTTAAATGTACTTCTGAACATTTTTTTTCTAATAACAACTTTTTCAAGTTTCTTTTTGTAATTTGGGTAATGTAGTTTGGCTTATATTACCTCAATATCCGTGAAAACGTCTCTCGTATATTCACAGACAAATTTTTGTAGTTGAAACAAAAACCAATAATTTTTCACTCAATACAAAACGTTTTATGGAAATAGTAAATTCGCCTCATTTTTTTTTTCTTTTATACTACTGTGTGAATTTGAAAGCTAAATATAATGGACGTTTTCGCTTATCGGGTTATTCCAGTGATAACTCTGACAGTGAAATTTTATTTCCAATAAACAACGTTTTTACACTTATCAATACGTTACTACGTAAGTTAATCACAGTGTTATTATTCCTCTGTTGCTTGTCGTTGTTTGTAGTGGAATTAACGTTATTACATAAGTTAATCACAGTGTTATTATTCCTCTGTTGCTTGTCTTTGTTTGTAGTGGAATTAGCGTTATTACATAAGTTAATCACAGTGTTATTATTCCTCTGTTGCTTGTATTTGTTTGTAGTGGAGTTAACGTTACTACATAAGTTAATCACAGTGTTATTATTCCTCTGTTGCTTGTCGTTGTTTCTAGTGGAATTAACGTTATTACATAAGTTAATCACAGTGTTATTATTCCTCTGTTGCTTGTCGTTGTTTGTAGTGGAATTAACGTTATTACATAAGTTAATCACAGTGTTATTATTCCTCTGTTGCTTGTCGTTGTTTCTAGTGGAATTAGCGTTATTACATAAGTTAATCACAGTGTTATTATTCCTCTGTTGTTTGTATTTGTTTGTAGTGGAATTAACGTTACTACATACATGTAAGTTAATCACAGTGTTATTATTCCTCTGTTGCTTGTCGTTGTTTGTAGTGGAATTAACGTTATTACATAAGTTATTATTCCTCTGTTGCTTGTCGTTGTTTCTAGTGGAATTAGCGTTATTACATAAGTTAATCACAGTGTTATTGCTCCTTTGTTGCTTGTCGTTGTTTGTAGTGGAATTAACGTTATTACATAAGTTAATCACAGTGTTATTATTCCTCTGTTGCTTGTCGTTGTTTGTAGTGGAATTAACGTTATTACATAAGTTAATCACAGTGTTATTGCTCCTCTGTTGCTTGTCATGTCGATTTTAATTTGACACTTATGATAACAGTTTTATTAGAATTCGTAACGTTTTTTTTTTCTACTTCTTCAGTGGCCTGATTGATGGAAAAGGCCATCCACCACCAGCTGAGAATGAACTCCACCGTGAAAACTATGCTCAGGATGAGGGTGGTCCTTACCGACTGTAATTCCACTACAAACAACAGAGGAGTAATAACACTGTGATTAACTTACGTAATAACGTTAATTCCACTACAAACAACGACAACCAACAGAGGAGCAATAACACTGTGATTAACTTACGTAGTAACGTTAATTCCACTACAAACAACAGAGGAGTAATAACACTGTGATTAACTTACGTAGTAACGTTAATTCCACTACAAACAACAGAGGAGTAATAACACTGTGATTAACTTATGTAGTAACGTTAATTCCACTAGAAACAACAAAACCAATGATTTACACAAGGCAGGGTATTTTCAGTTTGAACTGCCCCTTATTTAACCCATGAGCTTAACAGCCATTCATAGACACACACACACACCCTCATCCCTAAAGATACAGACAAATCCAACCCTAATTTATAACTTTTGTCCAGAGGTCTCTTATGTGGTGAACCTTACTCGAATAACGACACTGATCATTACAGTTGTAAGGCACTTATAGTTGAAATTTCGGAGCATATTCAACTACAAACTGTGGCTCGAACCTTGGACTCGCCCGCTAACTAGTAGGTCACGCCTTTCTTGTGCTTAATTTCAGTCATTCGAAATTTAGCAGAAAGAAAATTTATTAGACACTTTTTACACAATGTGCACATCAGGCCTCCCTACCCAACAAAAATGGATTGTTTTCGTCTGTATGTTGACGAGGAAATCGGAATAGAAATATAACTGGGATGGTCAACAGAGGGCGTATTACTCATCACATTCTATTCTTGGTTCTGAGTTTTTGTTTGTTTTAGTGCAAAGCTACACAGTAGGATATATGCACTCCGTCCACCACAGAGAATCGAACCTCGTATGTTAGGGTTGCAAGTTCGTTAACGTATCGCTGACCAACTGGGGGGAGGGGGGCAATAACAACAATCTCTCTATTCTTCCACCGCGGGTATCGAAACCGTATTTTTAGTATTATAAGCTCTCAGACGTACCACTGGGGGAGGGGGGGGGCTTTGTTCTGAAAATCGCTCTGAAGAAGAGTTGACACGAAGAGTGAGTACCATTTTTATACTGTAATAAACAAACTGGTTTACCGTCTTAAACGAGTTTAATACGAACGTGTATCGTAGTGTATTGTGTAAGAGGTAATATGTCGTTAATGTAAAAGCATCATGTATATTCTCGTGCTGTTTTAATTAAATAGACTACGTACTGAACGCTGTTGTCAGATACGGTGCTCTCTCTCTCCTGATCGGAATTCAGGTCTTTGTAACCTAAGAGGGTCAGGTACGCTGGGACCTCTTCCTCCTCAGTACTCTGGTGAACGGATATTGTTTGTTTTGAATTTTGAACAAAGCTATACGAGGGCTATCTACGCTAGCCGTCCCTAATTTAGCAGTGTAAGACTAGAGGGAAGGCAGCTAGTTATCACCACCCACCGCCAACTCTTGGGCTACTATTTATCAACGAATAGTGGGGTTGACCGTAACATTATAATGCCCTCACGGCTGAAAGGGCGAGCATGTTTGGTGTGACGGGGATTCGAACCTACGACCCTCAGATTACGAGTCGAGCGGCCTAGCCACCGGGCCGTGAACAGATATGTCAAATGACAAGTTCGTTTGTAAATGTTTGTTTATTTCGGACATTCGCGTAAAGCCACCAAAGGCTATCTGCGTTAGCCATCCTTAATATTGGACCGATAGACTATAGAAGAAAGGCAGCTAGTAAAAAAACACTCACCGCCAAATCATGGGCGTTTTTTTACTTGATTGAACACTAAAATCTGACCGCGACAACGAATCGCAAACCACGGACACTCGTATTCACTGTCTGGCATGCTAACATTCAGGTCACGCCCAACACGATTGTAAAGGCAAATGTGACGAAGGGAAAGTTATTTATTAATAATGTTCTTGAGTTTATGTTGTTCTTTAATATGCTACTGTTTGTTAAAGATTTATTGTAATCACTATAGAGACCAGTAGCGGTAAACAAACGTTTCAGGATAATAACTTTCAACCCGTTCTCTTCAGGATGGAATTCCTCTGAGGATCGTGTTCTTTTTGGGGATTTTTGCTGCTGTAGATGTTGCTGCCAGTATTGGTTTTATCTTACTGAGGATCATAATGGTAAGTGACGTAATTATTCTGTTAATATCATTACTATTTTGTTAATAATGGTATTGTTTTACCAATATTTTATAATGTTTTCTTCACTTTGTTGTTGTTTTGTTGGTAATCTTATTATTTGTTTAATAATGTACCAATTTCGTTAATAATTGATAACAATCCTATTATTTTGTTCGGCCCGGCATGGCCAGGTGGTTAAGGCACGCGACTCGCAATCTGAGGGTCGCGGGTTCGAATCCCCGTCACACCAAACATGTTCGCCCTTTCAGCCGTGAGGGCAATTATAATGTTACGGTCAATCCCACTATTTGTTGATAAAATAGTAGCCCAAGAGTTGGCGGTG